GTTGGACGCTGGCGTTCCAGAGAGTGCGTCTGCACGAAAATTTAAAAATGTGCCATCCTGGCTGCTTGAAGGAGATATTGAACAAGGTTTTCTCACCGAGTCAGACAGCGAGAGTGAGATTGATGAAGAGCAGGATGACGACGACGATGACGCTGCTGATTGTTGTGGAGTGAACGGCAATCGCATTGTTGACCTTAGCTCCCTGCAAGAACTTCTGGACAATTTCGCAATTTGTCGTAAATGTTCAAGTGGAACTCTGCGGCTCGCATACTCAAAGCAACGAGGCCTTGGTACTGTGCTGACGCTTGAGTGCAATGCCTGTGGATATTTAGGCAATGCGCCACTCAGTAAGATGGCTGGCAGAAGTTTTGAGGTGAACAAGCAGTCTGTCTTGGATATGCGCCGCATTGGCAGAGGATGGAATGCGCTAAGAAAATTTTGTGGAATAATGAATTTGCCACCACCAGTGACAGAATCAGTTTACAACACGCACCACAAGCAGCTGATGACTGCTGTTTCTGAGAAGGACATGCTCCAATGTGCTGTTGAGCTGAAGCAACTGGACAACACCGACAAAGTTGCCGTCACATTCGACGGAACCTGGATGCGACGCGGCTACTCCTCCCTCTTCGGTGTATTTGCTTGCATTTCATGGCGCACCGGTCGAGTTCTAGACGTGCAAGTGAAGAGTCGGTATTGCCACGAATGTGCCCTGTGGAATGACGAGGAAGAGCGTGGAGTTGTTACAGCACAGGAATTTCAGGAATGGAAGGAGCAACACTGCTGCAAGGCTAACACCAAGGCATCTGCACCTGGCATGGAATGTGAAGGTGCGAGTGATGTATGGAAGCGCTCAATGGAGAAGCGCAGCCTGATGTACACCACCTACATTGGAGATGGAGACTCCAAGGGGTATAACAGAGTGTGTAAGGAAGACCCGTATGGTGGTGAACAAATTGCAAAAGAAGAATGTGTTGGCCATGTTCAGAAGAGAGTGGGCACACGACTCCGCGAGCTAAAGCGCCAACTGAAAGGGAAGAAGCTCAGCGATGGCCGCCTAATATCTGGAGCTGGCCGACTATCCGACAAGACCATTGACAAGCTACAGACTTATTATGGCTGGGCAGTGCGACAGCACAGTGATGACCTCCAGGCAATGGCGCGGGTATTTGGGGTGGCCTCATGCATCGCTGCTCAACGGATGATACGCCTCAGCACAATTTCTGCCCTTCTGGCGCTGACACCTGGTGCAAGTACCGACAAGTGGAAGCTGGTGCCAGGGAGACGTATACTCATCGCAACTCCATTCCGAAAGCTGTATTTGAGGTCATCAAACCCATCTACATTCAGCTTGCAGAGAGAAAACTGCTCGAGCGATGCTTGATGGGTGTGACGCAGAATGCAAATGAAAGTTACAACAACATTGTGTGGAGCATGTGTCCGAAGGAAGGCTTCTGTAGTGCAGACACTGTGAGCACAGCTGCACACCTGGCAGTTCTCACCTTAAACCATGGTGCAATCACCCTCCTGGCAGTTCTGAGGGAGTTTGGCTGCACAACAGGTTGCTACACGGAGAAAGCTCTTCAGTCTGAGGATATGTTGAGAATCCACAAAGCTCAGCGCAAGGCATCGACAGAGGAAAAAGAGAGGAGGAAGAAGAGAAGATGCAGAAAAGGATGGGAGGAGGCTACTGTTGAGCAAGACGGTGTGTCTTATGGAGCAGGACAGTTCTGACAGCTACTTACCTAGTCCTGGTGAACATAAACTCTTGCCACGTCATGAAACGTACATATTTGGAGTGCCTATTTTGTCTTTTTTTTAGCTATTTTTCCACTTTCCGCACAATTTCCTGGTCAGGTCTTTCGTATTTGATATATAAAAGTGTGGATTTTCTGATTCTGCATGTCAAGCTGCAGTGCATATGCCTACTTTTAGAGTCACTTTGTTAGACTGGTGACCCTTAGCCCTCCTGAAATTTGTAAAAAATTACCGTTTGTGCGCATTGCCGTGTTTTTGTTGTTGTTTGCAGGCTTTTTGTACATACAAGGGTAAAATCCTTAGGCAGGTGCACTGGAGGCATATATGTAGGACTCAGTATAGAGTCCATGCACTATATGATGTCCAGCACCCTATATAGAGTCCATTGGTCCAAAATCCACTATACAGAGTCCAGGAGTCCACTCAGTTTTGATCAGCTTCAACCTGCCGCGCAATCCCCTATAAGGAGTACACTTTTTCTACCAGTCCCCTATTCACAGTCCAGGAGTCCAGTTTATCCAGTCACGCCGTCCTGTGTGTTGTGCCCGAAAAAGAACAAACACCTTTTCAGTTTTGCTTGCCTCGTGGCAGCGCATTCCTTTCTTCGCTTCAGCCATGGCTGCCAGTTCTGCTGTGAAGTTGCTGACAGTAATCTGTCACGAGGTAACCAAGGAGGATAAGGAGACGTTCAAAATCAAATCTGGAAAGCGTCTTGTGGTTCTCTGAAGACGTTTCATCAGTGTGCGTGGTGAAAGCAGAAATTGCAGAACGAGAAAAGTTCAGCACAGTTCAAATCTGACGAGTCAGGTACACTGACACTCTCTTTCGTTCGACGCCACAAGGATCCCCTGTTTGGCTGGCCATTGCTGCCAGTAAGACGTTTGAACGGTTTCATCAGAGCGAGGGATGAAAGCAGAAACCGGAGAAAGAGAAAAGTTCAGCACAGTTCCAATCTGACGAGTCAGATAGTACACTGACACTCTCTTTCGTTCGACGCCACAAGGATACCCCTGTTTGACTGGACAAGAGCTGCCTGTCCCACCGTGTCAAAAGGCTGTCCAACTACATGGCAGGACGATGACTGAGGTAAGGATCATGCTTTTACTCGTTTCGATTGGTCTGCTGTTCTGTCGTTATGCTTGATTTTTTTCCATTTTCAAGGAGCGTATCGCGTTTGTTTGATGTTGCTTGAATGAATGCCCTAAAAGTAATCAACCTCTTCGTAATAGTCCTCAAGGACTGCAAGGACTTTGCAACAATCGTATACGATCGTCTAGCTATCATCAATTATTATAATTATTTCATGAGAAATGTATTTTTATCCCTGTGATAATTTAATATGTGAAACTCCACGACACTCTTCCTCTAGTATGATGTCAAAATACAATGGGATCCACAAACGCAGTGCCAGTGTACTAGTAGTAGTAGTAGTAGGAGGATTGCTTGTATGCCAATGACAAGAAAAAGCTTCTCAAGCTAATACTCGTATTCCCTGAAGTAACCGTTTTGATGTCACGAACATGACATTGTGTCAGTGAAACTGCCTCGTGACAACAAATCATTGTATTTCCATCTTGGGGAAGACTGACTGACGGCAACGCTGTACAGATTGTTCAAATCATCTCATTTCAATTTAGTTGCAGTGAAGTGAAACACTGTGTACACTACATGTATGGTGATGTGTCTGTGCGTCTTGAGTGTGCACAAACCATCTTATTCCTCGTATTACTAATAGATTATTGTCCCCACCGTCACCTGTTCACAGGTCTTTGAGTGGATTGATTTTCATTGAGCATCACATTCGTTGAGAACTTGGTAGTTGTGTGCTCCCATGCATCATTACGGTAATACGCGTATCCTTGTGCTATCTATTTGTTGCAGGTGTGCTGATCTTCAGAAGCTTGCGGAACTGAGTGCTGCTGAACATTTGCATGGCCATGAGCAATGGTGAAGCTTGCTATTGCACTCTCAGCATGTGCTAGTATTATGCTGACTACTGCACTATGTTACTCTCTTACACTACTACATGTATGTAAACGTGCGTGTACCCGTCCCTGTATGCATTAGTTTCGTATAATTATTTGTTATCCCTCTTGACTTTACTTGTAAATGGGTGGACGTTTGCATGGCTGTTGGAGTTGCGTGTGTATTGTGTCTCTACTCTTTTCTTAGTGTTTTCTTGGCGTTGTATAAGTTTGTGTGTGTGTGTGTGTGTGTGTGTGTGTGTGCGCGCGCGTGCGCGCGCAATAATTTGAAAACAAATAATTAATCCTGGGCTCTCCATTATTCTCTTTCGATTCTTGTTTTTTTTCTAGGTATTTTCTTGGCGTTGTGTGGGTGTGTGCATGTGTGTGTGTGCGTGCACAATTATTTGGCAACACTACATGATTGAGATATTGTAATTTGCAGCGTCTGCGAAGAGACCACTTGATTTGAGGCTGGTGTTTGGAGGCTTTTTCATGTAATGAAGTGGCTGCAGTGGCGCCTCAATACATATTTTTTACCTTGAGAAGTGAATGATGTAAAGGATTAAAGGGAGAGGCCGTTTTCTGGTTAATATTCACTGCTTACAGCAGATCCTATGTCTAATTTCGAACTCGATAGGGGATGCCTAATTGGCTGGACTTTATACAGGGAGTGTTGTCCACATAAGACTCTTTAATCTTTATAGTTGATTTCAAAGTTTGGACTCTGTACAGTTGATTTTGGACCAATGGACTCTATATAGGGGTGAAGCCAATTGGCTGGACTCTATACAGGGAGTGATGTCCATCTAAACTTTGAGCTCACAGTTGATTCCAAGTTTGGACTCTGTACAGTGGATTTTGGACCAATGGACTCTATATAGGGGTTGGACATCATATAGGGGCTGGACGCTCTACTGAGTCCAACATATATACTGAGTATATTCCAATGCATTTCAGCTCATGAACACTCATCTGGAGTGCACAATATTGCGCACTATTTTGTCATCTCTATCGCCCACGGTCCCTGAAACTGGATTCTCATTTATTTCACTTTGAAATGGACTAGAATGACCAATGATGCTCTTTCCCATGTCTACTCATTCCAGGAAGCTGCACAGAAAATTTGGTGTAGAAATCTTGCACCATTCCAAAGTTATGACCAAATTAGATGGGCCCTGTCGGCTCAGCCACCGCGAAACCATAATTAAGTTAAGCCAGAATAGAGTGGGCTAGTAACACCAAAACAATCTCTTCGTCATCAAAGAGTCTCTGTACCTGCAACTGGCCAAGGTTGTGAGTCAGTTTGAATTCCATATCACGAAGATCAACACGATTATCCTTGGATTCCTGATCATCTTCACTGACGTCGTCTTCACCCTGCATGTCCACAAAGAAACAAACAATCTTTTCCATCTTACAACCAGCCGGGTATGGCTGCTCAGTGCAAAATACAGCACAGCAAAATTCAGGACTCTGTTCCCCATTTATTGTGTTTGCTGTAGAACATGCCGGGGGGTAGACCGTAGAGATCGCTTTGCACTTTTTTGTAGCTCAAGGACCAGATACCTCTTTCAAAAAAGGCGAATAGAGGTCCTTTAAATTATATGTGTATTACGTTACACTCGGTATAATATACTGAGTGTAACGTAATACACATGACCATATTATGGTCACGGCTCTATATATGGTCACCATCTCTAATAAAGCGGCTGAGAAGGATACGAAGTAATGGAAGGAATGGGCTCAACCTACCAGCAGTATCTACAGGGACATTCTACTGATCATACTTCGAAGTATAATTATATTCATTTCATTTTACATAACACAACTGATATCACACTGGAAGGTTTTGCTACCATAACACAATCACAGCCATTCGCCATTAGAGAAAGGACCAACAAGTTATGAGTCATGACTAACATCCATCCGACTTCACCATGAGACTTATCTATTTGCCCAATCCCATTGTCCTTTTAACCCTTTCACTGCCGCTGTCGACTCCAGTCGACAGCCCATTCATGCACTCTGAGTGCCGCTGTCGACTGCAGTCGACCAGCAAGAATGCAGTTCCCAGTGCCGCTGTCGACTGCAGTCGACAGGCCGACTTCGCCCGATTGGGCCACTATTTTGGGGTATTCGAGAGGTTTAGCTGCCATAGAGGGTTACTGGGCCCTGGAAGAGGTGAAATACGCTGCCAGGAGTAGGGGTTGCCATTTGAAAAAATCGAACCAGCGTCGTTGAAAATATCATGTATCCGATTTTTAGCAGAGCGGCGCTGAAAAAATCGGTTCCCACGCACTTCCACCTCGCTGAGTCGGTGAGAGTATTTTTCTCTTTCCCGTCAACTTTCATTGCATGGAGCATGGAATTTGGTTCAGACTTGATGCCTAGCTATTACCCAAGACCCCAGGCGGCTATCCATTGCGACAGGCGGTTGGAGTCACGGGTAGAGAACCAAACGACGGATTCCTCACAAACGCATTTTGGATGCAGCTATGTACAAACTTGATGTAAACAGCGCTGGCGGCGCTCGCCGGGTCCAGAACTAAATTTTCCCGAGAACTAAAACGTTGCAATGGCGACCAGCACAATCAAGGGACACTACAGGTATGTCAGCTACAAGTATAATAATATTATTCTTTCTGCAACGAGTCGACACCTACCTCAATACCTGACGATCTACTGCATTCTGATGCGGAAGTGCATTACACCCGCGAACGAAGCGCTTGTCAACGGAACAGGGAAGCGCTTCATTCTCCGACGTTGAAGAGATGTGCTTGGACTGCTGATAATTAGGAGAACAAAGGACCACCATGTCGGCAGAACAATCCGCGGCTGTTCAGCGACACGATCCGCTTCACGAAACGACTCGCGATCGTTCCCCAAGTTTTCTGCAAGCAACAAGAATTGCGTCTGCAGTGACAGGACGAAAGTCTCTCGCAAACTGAAGTCCTGTTGCCACGAAGACAGGGAAGTTTCAGCAAGCACTTTCTTCTGCTTCAAGTGCTGTAGCTCTCCGGTCCACTTGCAGATCTTTCAATCCCACCGAACGAAAAACAGGATTTGCTTCTCTCTCCAAAACAACAACTAACTTTACTTCACAACTGGCCGGGCTGTACACATGGTGTACATGACTGTATGTAGTGCATGCGGCGCGCGGCGCACTTTCGCATGACATAACATGACTTGTTGCACAGCTGCTGGCTCTAGAACGCTCAGCGCGCTTGTACTTCGGATCTTGCGATTTTTTTCGACGGCAATGGCTTCCTTTATCAGTTGGCTACCTACGATGTATACTTTAGAAAGCGATATTCCGTACAGAAAGTACCAAAAATCCAGGAAAAGTTGGCCTTTCGATTTCGACAACAACTAACCTTTCGACACCAACTAACTTTACTTCACAAGTGGCCGGGCCGTACACATGGTGTACATGACTGTATGTAGTGCATGCGGCGCGCGGCGCACTTTCGCATGACATAACATGACTTGTTGCACAGCGGCTGGCTCTAGAACGCTCAGCGCGCTTGTACTTCGGATTTTGCGATTTTTTTCGACGGCAATGGCTTCCTTTATCAGTTGGCTACCTACGATGTATACTTTAGAAAGCGATATTCCGTACAGAAAGTACCAAAAATCCAGGAAAAGTTGGCCTTTCGATTTTTTGAACTGGAGGTAAAAAAAAGTGCCTGGTACTGGGGGTGCACAGCTCAGCTGACAGCCTGGCACTGAGTGCCTTGTCACTTGAGCAGTCAGCTGGCAGTGAAAGGGTTAAAAGCGATTCACCGCAAACATGTTACATGTCATAATATGTAATGGCCAATGTTCAGTATACACACATACAAAGGGTCACTGAAGATCACATATGCGGAGAACTGCTAGATAATGGATAATGGAGCTATAGAATACTAGCTGTAGAGGAAAGATAAAATTAATAAGGTGATAGTTACGCCGGATACTGTGGTGCAGCACAGATTACAGTAATCACACGAGCAGCCCAACTGGCATCCACCCCATGCACTCACTCATCGCACTGCACAGTCAGCTCACTCGTTGCGTCATTGTCCTGTTTAGCTCATGTACAATCATGTACTTCTGGTTCAGTCGGCACTCCTTTTCATGACACAGGTCAGCAAACAGGCAGGCGACAGGCCCACTCCCAGGCAGGCGACAGGCCCACTCCTTGGCAGGCGAGAGGCCCACTCCTTGGCAGGCGAGAGGCCCACTCCCAGGCAGGCGAGAGGCCCACTCCTTGGCATTCGCTCCATGCACTGTCTACTTATATTGCGCCATCGAAACACTCGCCCGATTCATCCTTTTTTTAATAGTGGATACTACTAGGCACTTCAGTCACGTGACGTGACCTGTCAGAAAGTGCTAACGCTGAATCGCGTACATGCGTGGCACCGCGGAGAGACGCATGCAAACGTCGAGCTGTAGCTGCGCAGACACTGCATGAGGATTCCTCGTGTGGTGTGGGATGTAGCATGGACGATCAGCTTTCGTTTGACCCCACACACACCACAATGCGGCAACATACTGTACTTACATGCAGTACAAGTAAAATCGACACATCTTTTCAGGCATTTCCCTTGATTGCACGCGGTTGCCATGTAGCTCATCGTCTTCAGCGTCAAATTTCCTTTCAGAATCAGTAGTCGTTGTGTGTCCAAGGCTTTGCGCATAGCTGCGCAAGATGAAATAGTGAGGAGCCTCGTCACGAACTGAGCAGGCGTCCTTGTTCGTTGCAGGACTTACGCAGCCGTGCGCAAGGAGAAAAGAGTCACTAGTGTTATGGAAGGCGCATCAGAGCAGGCATCCTCCCCTGGCAGTGACAAGCCGAAGGAGGACAGCAGAGCAGGCATCCTCCCCTGGCAGTGACAAGCCGAAGGAGGACAGCAGAGCAGGCATCCTCCCCTGGCAGTGACAAGCCGGAGGAGGACAGCAGAGCAGGCATCCTCTCCTGGCAGTGACAAGCCGAAGGAGGACAGCAGAGCAGGCATCCTCCCCTGGCAGTGACAAGCCGAAGGAGGACAGCAGAGCAGGCATCCTCCCCTGGCAGTGACAAGCCGAAGGAGGACAGCAGAGCAGGCATCCTCTCCTGGCAGTGACAAGCCGAAGGAGGACAGCAGAGCAGGCATCCTCTCCTGGCAGTGACAAGCCAAAGGAGGACAGCAGAGCAGGCATCCTCTCCTGGCAGTGACAAGCCAAAGGAGGACAGCAGAGCAGGCATCCTCTCCTGGCAGTGACAAGCCGAAGGAGGACAGCAGAGCAGGCATCCTCTCCTGGCAGTGACAAGCCAAAGGAGCACAGCAGAGCAGGCATCCTCTCCTGGCAGTGACAAGCCGAAGGAGGACAGCAGAGCAGGCATCCTCTCCTGGCAGTGACAAGCCGAAGGAGGACAGCAGAGCAGGCATCCTCTCCTGGCAGTGACAAGCCAAAGGAGGACAGCAGATCAGGCATCCTCTCCTGGCAGTGACAAGCCGAAGGAGGACAGCAGAGCAGGCATCCTCTCCTGGCAGTGACAAGCCGAAGGAGGACAGCAGAGCAGGCATCCTCTCCTGGCAGTGACAAGCCGAAGGAGGACAGCAGAGCAGGCATCCTCTCCTGGCAGTGACAAGCCGAAGGAGGACAGCAGAGCAGGCATCCTCTCCTGGCAGTGACAAGCCGAAGGAGGACAGCAGAGCAGGCATTCTCTGCTGGCAGTGACAAGCCGGAGGAGGACAGCAGAGCAGGCATCCTCTCCTGGCAGTGACAAGCCGAAGGAGGACAGCAGAGCAGGCATCCTCTCCTGGCAGTGACAAGCCAAAGGAGGACAGCAGAGCAGGCATCCTCTCCTGGCAGTGACAAGCCGAAGGAGGACAGCAGAGCAGGCATCCTCTCCTGGCAGTGACAAGCCGAAGGAGGACAGCAGAGCAGGCATCCTCTCCTGGCAGTGACAAGCCAAAGGAGGACAGCAGATCAGGCATCCTCTCCTGGCAGTGACAAGCCGAAGGAGGACAGCAGAGCAGGCATCCTCTCCTGGCAGTGACAAGCCGAAGGAGGACAGCAGAGCAGGCATCCTCTCCTGGCAGTGACAAGCCGAAGGAGGACAGCAGAGCAGGCATCCTCTCCTGGCAGTGACAAGCCGAAGGAGGACAGCAGAGCAGGCATCCTCTCCTGGCAGTGACAAGCCGAAGGAGGACAGCAGAGCAGGCATCCTCTGCTGGCAGTGACAAGCCGGAGGAGGACAGCAGAGCAGGCATCCTCTCCTGGCAGTGACAAGCCGAAGGAGGACAGCAGAGCAGGCATCCTCTCCTGGCAGTGACAAGCCGAAGGAGGACAGCGGAGCAGGCATCCTCTCCTGGCAGTGACAAGCCGAAGGAGGACAGCAGAGCAGGCATCCTCTCCTGGCAGTGACAAGCCGAAGGAGGACAGCATATACCTTGGCGACTGGACAAAGAAAGCTGATACTAAAACTGCCTCTTTAGAACGAATCATCAGCAGCAGGTGGCTTCCAGCAGCGAAGAAAAGTACTGCCGACGATGTTCGCGATTTAAACTATTGCACAAATGGACTCATGCTGGAGTTGGTGAAATTTCAACAGGCTCAAAAATTCAGTGAGGATGTTTTGCATATGACAGTTTTTCATTTCTTTCCGCAAGAATTAGATAGACCACGTTTGTCTGTGAAGATCTTGAGTAGCCGCCTTCATCGAGTTAAGGACAATAAAACAAAATTCAAAAATCTGAGAAACGTTCACCAGGGTCGTGGCAGCATTTCTGTCTGCTCAGTGCTCGCTGCATGGTGTCCCCACCACCGTCGCCAGTGCAACAAGTCCTACCGGTGGCATTTCCAGCTCCAGAGCATCTGCAAGATCCAGCTCAGAGTCAGATGTCCGCAGCAGTGACCCTGTTTTCCTGGAAAACGTCGAGCTTGCACAGGATGTTTCGGACCTGAGCTCAAAAGTGGATGATTTGGAAGCGCAGCTAAAAGATTACCGAGGTCAGCTTCGCAATGCTCGTAAGAAGATAGTTCGAAGAGAGAGACAGTCACAAGACTTGGAGGAAGAGCTTGAAAGTGTCACAGCAGCATCAAAGGAAAGTTGACAGACTCTGCAAAACCGGCTTCGGCAGAAACAGTTTCAGCGGAAAAGCAAATCTGATGTATCCGTCAGTGATCTTCAAGATGAAGTTGATGAACTGTCGTCTCGCTTGACAGCTTCACGCAAAGAAAAATGATGCCCTCCGGGAAGAACTTACCTCTCTTCAAGCAGACGCCATCGATAGGAGCGGTACCATCCAGTTTGAGACTATGGCTGACGGAAAGTACTTGCCCGCAGTGCGTCAGTGCTGCCTCGAACTGCTGTCGAGCAATGTTGGCATCTTTAATATAAAAAGGTTATCAACAGTGTACTGTGTTGGCATGTCTGCGGAAAGACTGCCGTCTCAGAGCCTTCTTTCCCAGATGCTTGTGGAGTTAAAAGGTCTGGCTAGCCTCCAGATAGCAGAGGAATTAGAAGAGGAGCAGTTTACGACACTCCACAGCGACGGTACCAGTAAGCACGCCAGCAAGTACGGCGCTTACCAGATGTGTACAAGCCAGCAGCGTGTGTACAGTCTTGGGATGGTGGACATGGAGCAAGGCACTGCAGCGTGTGTACAGCTTTGGGATGGTGGACATGGAGCGAGGCACTGCAGTCTACACTCTCGAAATGCTCAAGGCTGTTCTGGCTGATGTGTCCAAGATGGCCGATACTACTGAAGGTGGCACCAGTGCAGGTGATCGCATCCTCGCAAATGTTAAGAATACTATGAGCGACCGATGTATTGTCCAGAAAAACTTTTAAAATGATCTTTTGCAGGAATATCGAGCAGAGATACTCCCCAATGTGCAAAGTGACTGGGCTGACCTCTCGGAAGATCAGCAGAAGCAAGTGTCAGCATTCAATTATTTTTCTGTGATCTCCATTATATCGCTGGCCTGGCTGACCAATCAGATGCAATCCTGAAAAAATGGGAAGAAGCTCATTTTGAAGGTGCTAAGATTGGTGCCAGCAACCTCCCTGGAGCGTTTGAGCCCAGTCATAGCTGCATCGACCGCCTCATTTATTCAGCCACTAAAGCTTTTGAAGAACATGGCGATGAGTCAGCTGGTTCTATGGCAGATTTTAAACATCAAGTCTCCGCTGTGTGAATACCGTGGCAACAGAAATTATGTGATTTTCTTCAATAGAGCTGGTATTGCATATCTGCATGAGATGATGGTGTCCTACCTACAGGATGTCCATGGTGAGACGAACCGGCTATTGAAGGCTGTGAAAGCTGACCTGTGTGTTCCTGAGCTGGTTGCTGGGTGCCAGGCTCTTGGGCTCATTTGCAAGCTTTTAGTTGCACCACTGTGGGCTGTCATGGAGGACAAGGACAAGACCATAATTATATGATAATTATTAGTCTGATCTACTTGTACACTGAACTCGTCAAGAAAATGGAAGAGTGGGCACAAGACTGGACAGATGTTTTAGAAGGAAGTGCTCGACCCTTTACTAGTGCCGCAATAGATCTCACTCACCGATGTTGTTCTGAACAAGATGATTGAGCCACAGGAGAATGATGCCTTGACGTGCGAGATCCTACAAGTACTGTTTGCTGGCTTTGCATTGTATTCCACCCGGCTGCTGTGCGATCACCTTCCTGGTGGTACATTTCACCAGCCATCCGGCTTGCAGAGTACCACTGAGACGGCATCTGTGAGGAAGACGAATGCAATTTGTGAGAGTGATTTTGGGAAGCTAGATCGCTACCTTCGCGAGAAGCCCAATATCCAGACGGTTGCACTAGAGGGCTTGCTGATGTTTTCCAACAATCAGACCTCTCAGTGGCTGAGGCACAAATCTGATAAAGAGAAGGAGGCGCTGCTAAGCTCTGCGATGCGTGCTGCGCCTGAGTTTCGGCAGGCTTTCAAGGCTCGCCGTAAGCCATCCAGGATTCTCGCATGAAGCTCCTGAAGCAAAAACAAGCAAAGATTGCTCGGAAGAACCAGCAACAGCAAGAGAAGGAGACACTTACCGCAGAGGTGACGGCGTTGGGTGGACTGTGGACCTTCAAAGACAAGGTGTCCGAGGAGATGTCGAAGATCATCAGGGTTCCTGATCAGCGAGCTGCTCTTCGTTCTCAGCTGTTTTTTCGCAAGTTTGTTCCGCAACAAAAAGCACCTTCATCATCTTTCGCTTTATCTAGTGATGGGAAGCAGCTGTCTGTGGAACAACTCACCACGAACTTAATCTCGCTGCTATCACCGTGTACTCAGCCAGCCGTTGCTGAGTCCGGACAGGGTGAACGAACTAATTGCTGTGTGCTGTATGCTGTTGCCATAGCAACAATGTGTTCTGGCACCTAATTTACTGTAGTCACCTTCATTTTACCTCAAAGTGTCATCTTGCGCCTAGTTGCAGCCTGTTCTGTATGGTTGCTATGCTGTTGCTATGGAGTTGCCATGGTGCCGACACCCGTTGTCGTCGGCTGAGTTGCCAGACTAATGAAGAGTGCCTAACCATGTTTGTTTCTGCATTCATTTGATTATTTTCACCTGATTCACATGTTTGGTGTTTTGTAACTATGGACACTGATACAAGTGCTGACATGCTACATGCTGGTGCTATCGAAATACTGAAATAATTGCCGTAATAATATTTCTCCAACTTTGGGTGGCTATCTCTGTGCCAGGTTGTTCCTTTTGCTTCAAATTTTCTGTGGAGTCTTCCTATACCTATTTGAATCGAATACAAGAAAGAAATACGAACATTTCTACATTTCTGCTTTTGAAAAAATCGCCTGAAGTGCCTAATACCGTAAAGCGCGGTGCAAATGCCCACCCCATTTTTGCAAGATCTGCTGGCCTGTACACACTGACCCCATGCACTGTCACCTCTACTGTACGAAAGTACGTCTCATACCGTAGCGGGAAGAGCGCTTTGCTACGGTAAACTATGTCCACTTTCCTGGTTTCAAAATCTCTTTGGGCACTAGCTACGAGCTAGCTCGTAGTGATTTCATTATGATGGTTGCTTTATTTCGCAAATCCAAATGGGAGTTTCTTCCGAATGACAAGGTAGCGAAGAACAGAGTATTGCAGGAACCAAGTACACTTCTGATCATTTCCAAATCACGCAATGCTCAAAGGCAAGGGTTTTTCTCGAGCACTTCAGAGTTTTCAATAAGTTAGTAGCGACTTTGTAGGTGTAGCTTGTACTAGCTACTGTGACATACCCTGTTTGACTTGCAACTGCAATACTGCGAGCGGTCAAGTCGTTGAATGACGCTTCGTCAGAACAATCATTGTTCCGTTCTGCAAATGCCACATTGTGGCACTGCAGAAATTAAGTTTCGTGAAAACCAGATGAATTCTACAGCATTACTACATGGAGAGCGACCTACCACAAAGACGACTCGCTTATCGAGTGAAAGGAAATCTCGACAGAAGTTTTTCTTGCAGCAAGATGATGACAATCGCTTTTGCAGAGCCTCCTGCTAAGACATAGGCAGTTTGTAGGCATTACAGCCGTTTTCGTACGCATTCGACCTTCATGCCAGTTTTCTACAACTATATTGACCTGAAAAAGACGAAAATAGTATGGACTCGCTGGGGTGGGCGTTTGCAGCGGACTTTACGGTACTACTGTTCGAAGGCTTGTTGGTAGTGTTGGAAAAAGGAGTTTTTACTTGTAAACGATCATCAGACAGCACTGAACATAATGGGCTAAGGATGTGTTTGATGCTGGCTGCAGCAAGTGTCTACATCTGTAACTATATTTTAATTCCTAATTCTTGATATATATTTGCTACCAACCTTGTTTTCATCTAGCCGCAGAACTTTCCGTTTACGAGCATCTTGACGGTGTTGGCGCTTGAGTTTTCGCAAAGTTCTTTGTTCCAAAGAGTGAGTAGATCCAGCTGTCTTGCCCTCCTCTCCCTGCTTCGAACCTGATATTGCAAAATACGCAGTCAAACAACACACTGTACCATCAATGGTGTGCTTTCACCACCAGTCAAATCATGACAAGCCACCTGTATACCAAGAGACAGAGTATACCGGTATACACCGCACATCAGCCTAGCACCTGTATACCAAGAGACAGAGTATACCGGTATACACCGGACATCAGCCCCAGCACATGTATACCAAGAGACAGAGTATACCGGTATACTCCGGACATCAGCCCCAGCACATGCAGCAACAACCAGAGTCAAAAAATCCTGAAAATTACAAACCAAGAAATGATCATATTCCCCAAATAAGTTTTTCCGTCACCATGGCTTTCGTCCGGACTAAACTGTCCTTCAGCCTAGTGAGAGCCATGGTTGCTAGTCTGCGCGGCTACCGGCACTCTTCAGTGCCACTTCCAGTTCACCCGGCTGTGCTGGCGGCTGCTGGGTATTCATTGTAAGCGTATGACACAAGTACTGCTGATGTACATGGAGCTGCTTACCTCTCTTTCTTTCTCATCTTTCCTTTTCCTTCTTCTCTCTCTTTGTTTGCCACGGCGACCCCGTGTGCTGTCTGTGACTTTGAGCCTCATTTCACTGTACTACTTTTTTTCTCTTTTACGTTTACTTTATACCAGGCGTGGGCCATCCCCTGTACATACAGTTGCGCTCGGTGAAATCCAGCCCGAAGTGCAAAGCCGGCGCCGCGAAGCCAGCTCCCATTACATCACTGGCGATGTGTGTGTACGAACTCAACTGTACGCACCTCGTGTGAAAGTTCGGAGTGAACGTGTTGCATGCTAAAAACAGTTCAAAATCTCTTTCATTCACTTCACGAAGTACAGCTCAAGATCAAGAAGAGATAGAGAAGAAGGACACGGCCATTCCCACTGTGTGGGCTCTTCTCAAGAAGAGAATAATTCCACATCGCTGCGAGAATGCTGACCAGCTGGTGCAGTGGGACTCGTTGGCTCCTGACACGGTTTTCCCATACGTGGATTCAATGCCACGTCGTGTTGAAGCCCTAATCGAAGCAGACGGTGGCCACACAAAATATTGAAGCCCTGCTGCTCTGTGTATGAAATGAACTGCTTCGAAACGATCTCCGTCTTCTTTACTTGTGCTGAACTGAAATGAATGTTACACTTGGCTTTGTTTGGCGCGGTTTTCTACACTTCGGTGTAAGCATGCATGCGTATTTGTATGAGTACAGCACATGCACAGTTCATACGGCACACGTGCACACTAGCACTTGTACAGCTTTGAGGGCGTCAAGGGCCGCATCAGTACTGGGCGCCAGTTATGCACTTCGGGCCGGATTTCACCGAGCGCAACTGTAGGTGCCACCATTTTTCTTTGTTTCAATAAATGGTACATTCGGCATATACCGTACTCACTTGATTAGAAGCCCCTCTCGAATAAAAGCCCCTCTTGAATAATAGCCCCCCTACAAGGACTGTTTGAAAAAAATACAAGCCCCTCTCGAATAGAAGCCCGGACTACTACTCGCAAAGTATGGGGTGACCAGGTAGTGCCATGTATGAAGGTCAAGTGTGCAAAAAACACCCCGTGCATGTTCATATTGGTATACCAGGTACGTCCTGGTCGACTTAGTGTGTGCGAACTAACTCAGGGTTGAGTTGCTGTGAATATGAAAGTTTTAGAGATTTGATTGGAATACTGGTATGGAATGAAACAATAAAAGCCCCTCTCGAATAGAAGCCCCTCTTGAATAGAAGCCTCCTCAAAATCGGTATTGAAAAAATAGAAGCCCCCGACTTCTAATCGAGTGAGTACGGTATGTGGACGCACACAAAAAAAGAAAAAAAAGAAAAAAAAGTGGAACAATATTCACACCATGTATCCACACTGCTACATCGGTGTTTATTCTATACATATTCACACCATGTATCCACACTGCTACATCGGTGTTTATTCTATACATATTCACACCATGTATCCACACTGCTACATCAGTGTTTATTCTATACATATTCACACCATGTATCCACACTGCTACATCGGTGTTTATTCTATACATATTCACACCATGTATCCACACTGCTACATCGGTGTTTATTCTATACATATTCACACCATGTATCCACACTGCTACATCGGTGTTTATTCTATACATATTCACACCATGTATCCACACTGCTACATCGGTGTTTATTCTATACATATTCACACCATGTATCCACACTGCTACATCGGTGTTTATTCTATACATATTCACACCATGTATCCACACTGCTACATCGGTGTTTGTTCTATACATATTCACACCATGTATCCACACTGCTACATCGGTGTTTATTCTATACATATTCACACCATGTATCCACACTGCTACATCGGTGTTTATTCTATACATATTCACACCATGTATCCACACTGCTACATCGGTGTTTATTCTATACATATTCACACCATGTATCCACACTGCTACATCGGTGTTTATTCTATACATATTCACACCATGTATCCACACTGCTACATCGGTGTTTATTCTATACATATTCACACCATGTATCCACACTGCTACATCGGTGTTTATTCTATACATATTCACACCATGTATCCACACTGCTACATCGGTGTTTATTCTATACATATTCACACCATGTATCCACACTGCTACATCGGTGTTTGTTCTATACATATTCACACCATGTATCCACACTGCTACATCGGTGTTTATTCTATACATATTCACACCATGTATCCACACTGCTACATCGGTGTTTATTCTATACATATTCACATCATTACACACCACTACAGACCTTCACGTTTGTCCCAGCCACGTGCTTTCCTACTGTCTTCAGCATCGTCCTCACTTGACGAGCTGTCTGACCCAGTTTGCAGCAATCTGTGATCACTCAAAATCCCTTCAAACTGCCTTCGCAATTTAGCAATTTCATAGAAGCGTTGTTGTTCTAAACCTCGACGTCGGCACCATTTGTGCGAGTTAGAACCAGCATGACGATCATTAGACTTGATCTGTGACATCACACAAAAACAGAAGATAAGTGTAACAGCAGTGATGTCAGCAAGAGTTGCTCAGAGGCAACTGCCAACTGGCAGCTGCTTCTATCAGACTTGTTGTTGGACAAGCTATGCTGATTGGCTTGTGTGTGTGTGTTGGACAAGCTATGCTGATTGGCTGATTGGCTGATTGGCTTGTCCATTGTTACCCAAGACTATACTACACAGCTGGTCTTAGCATCATCAGAAGGCCAATATCGAACTGCTTGTTCTTACCATCATCAGACGGCCAATATCGAACTGCTTGTTCTTACCTGAATCCATTCATTGAAAGCTGTGAACAATGTGAATGGGTCACCATGATCAGACTCGAGTGTGCGCCGGTTTCTCTGTAGCAATAGTAAGATAGGTTACAGGGCATAGTAAGGATACAGCTGTTGAGTTGAATGTTATGCGCATAGCAAGGATACAGCTGTTGAGTTGAATGTCATGGGCATAGTAAGGATACAGCTGTTGAGTTGAATGTCATGGGCATAGCAAGGATACAGCTGTTGAGTTGAATGTCATGGGCATAGCAAAGATACAGCTGTTGAGTTGAATGTCATGGGCATAGTAAGGATACAGCTGTTGAGTTGAATGTCATGGGCCACTTTAAGTATTCAAGTGAGCAAGGGATCACGATCAAAGTGTGTTATGGATTGCATGCATGTTATTATGTGCAACGTCACAGTCCTAGATTACATGCATGCTATGTGTGACGTCATTATCAGATTATCTTAGCTACTGTTACCATGCACGTAGTTACTGCTGCCATGCGCGTCGTTACTGTTGCTATGCAGCACTCTCTGTATGTAGAGTGTGCGCATGTGTGCAATGTGCTTCTCCTTGGATCCATCTTGGCTTCCTGTGCTGCATGTCTTTCCTCTCTGGTTTTACCTTTACTGCCATGTTCCCTTTCAATGCAATGTATTTCTAAACTCTCCGATTCGTGTGTATCAGTGGAACTGTGTACATGTATGAGTAGTGTGCGGGCTGAATACGAACCACAACATCCGTTTGGTGCCCTTGGTGTAGCGGAAACGCTCCTGATATGACCAGATTCCTCTTGATATAGGGAGACATATTCAACCCACAAAATGCATAATAAATTGCTCCCTACCTGAACATCCAAGTTGCCATCAGCCATGCGATGAAACGGACTCTGCACGCTAAGGCATGCAGCCATTGTAAGAATTGGCTGGATAACCTAGAAAGCATGTGCATGCAAGAACACACACACGCACGCAAGCACACACAGACACGCACATGCATAGACACACAGACACGCACATGCACAGACACAGACACAGACACAGACATAGACATATACATATACACACATATAAGCAGCCCAGGGACTTAAGACAACTGTCTATACACACATACACACACACACACACAAATACACACACCAAGCCAAACACGACACACTGGTCATAAAAAGATACATGTCCTCCCTGTATCTGTGCTCCTCGTTGGAGCAACCATCTTCAGGTCCTCCCTCACTAGTAGATAATCTCTGGGCCGTCAGGAAAGTCTTATAACGAGACTTATCTTGTAACAGGACTTGCCACCATACATGGTCAGTAAGCGATGATATGCACGTTTCTGGGTTTCCCTCGATACAAAATAATTTCTAGACCCTGTAACTCGTTATAAGATAATTTCAATACAGTACTACATGCCGGCTGTTTATCGGATGCGGAAAATAAAGATACACTGTACAGTTTCAATGCAGTGTAATAGCGTATTTGGTACAAGTACAGAGATCAACACTGAAATATATAATAATTGTCCCTCCAGTTAATGAAGAGTGCAGTAAAAGCAGCATCTTGGATTTGGCAGGTTATGTGAGTTCAAACGTAAATTGTGCACTAAGTCTTGTTACAGCAGAGCATTTAATATCACAATTTCTTCAAAGATTGACACGTGCATAGAACGAGATGGAGAACGCAAGAGTGGGAGAGGGAGAAAGCTAGAGACGGAAAAAGAGAGTGAGAGGGGGATAGTGTGAGAGAGTGAGTGAGAGAGTGTGAGAGAGAGGGAGAGAGTGAGAGAGAGGAAGAGTGTGAGAGAGAGGAAGAGTGTGAGAGAGAGAGAGTGAGTGAGTGAGTAAGTTAGTGAGTAAGAGAGGGAGTGACAGATTGTGAGAGAATGAGAGTGATCTAGTGTGGTAGTGTGAGAGCGCGTGAGAGAGTGAGTGAGAAAGTGTAAGAGAATGAGAGTGATCTAGTGATGCGAGTATGAGTGAGACAGTGAGTGAGAGAGTGAGTGAGAGAGTGAGTGAGAGAGTGAGTGAGAGAGTGAGTGAGAGAGTGAGTGAGAGAGTGAGTGAGAGAGTGAGTGAGAGAGTGAGTGAGAGAGTGAGTGAGAGAGTGAGTGAGAGAGTGAGGAGAGAGTGAGTGAGAGAGTGAGTGAGAGAGTGAGAGAGTGAGAGAGTGAGAGAATGAGAGTGATTTAGTGATCTAGTGTGAGTGAGAGAGTGCGTGAGAGAGTGAGCAAGAGAGTGAGAGAATGAGAGAGCCTAAGAGTGAGCAAGAGAGTGAGAGAGTGAGAGAATGAGAGCCTAAGAGTAAGTAAAATAGTACGTGAGAGAGTGAGGAAGTGAGTGAGAGCGTGAAAGAATGAGAGTGATTTAGTTATCTAGTGTGAGTGAGAGAGTGAGTGAGAGAGTGAGCAAGAGAGTGAGTGAGTGAGTGAGAGAGAGAGCCGCTAAGAGTGAGCGAGAGAGTGAGAGACCCACTAAGTGTTAGCGAGAGAGTGAGTGAGAGAGTGAGAGTGAGTGAGAGAGTGTGAGAGAGTGAGTGAGAGGGATCAACAAGAGCCAGGTCGGAAAAAAGGCAAATGGGCAGAAGGAGGTGGGAGAGATCCTGAAGCGAGAAAGAGCAGGGAGTGGGATGACACAATCAGTCCTTTGGCAGACTTAAACTGCAGCAAAACATGCATTGCAGAATTTCTCGTCTTCATCATCGACTTGGCAGCAGTGATGGTACCTTAACGCGCACTTGGTGCATGTTCTGCATTTTCTGATGTCAGCCCCATTGCATATCTCACACATTACTGAAGTAGCTTCGGATGTACATGACGCAACAGCAAATGGTGGGGTGCAGTCGCTTTCAGAAGACGATGATGAGGTTGCTGGATGGTCGGGCGTAGTAGCGGATACTGTTGGAGTGAAAACTGTTTCCGAAGAAGAGCTGGAGGTCAGGATGCTTACAACACCTCTGCATGCTGACCTGGGACGTTGTGTTATGATGTCGTCATCATTCTCTTCCGAGCTGCAAGTGACAACTTCAATATCAGAACTAGACACGTTGCTGTCACTCCAGCATGAAAGCGAATTCCTTTCACCCTCGGATACATCAGTGCACACTACCTCCTTTTCACGAGGCCGCACGGCAGCAAAAAATGTCTTGATGGTGGCGGCTGGTTTTACTGCCTGGGTCTGGTGCTTTCCGGCCTTGGTTTTCACTTCTGTGGTAGTTGGTGGCTGGAGTGATCTGCGTATGTTGGTTGTTCCACTGGATGGTGAAAGGAAGGCATGGATAGATGACTGATGCGTCGCGGTCATGACCCGTTTCAGGAGCAAGTCGTCAATGTCAGAAGTGCCTGTGAAAATGGCGTCGTCAACAACGCCAGGATCCAGCGACATGACATGAGCCCGAGCGCGCTAAAACATGACCACAGCTTTTTTTGAAAAAGTCGAGATAATCGCGATTTGAATTCCGCGGCAAAAAATACGAAGTGCAGTGCAGCGCGAGTTGCTGTTGTTGTTCTCCTCGGTCGACTGGACTGTTCCGGATGCAATTTTCTGTTGCAAGTAAGTTTATTTGTTAGAGTTTGTATTCCACGTTGCGCTGAGTCGCCTAAAACTGATCGTCCTCAATGTATCGACAGAAGAGCGTAGTAGTAGTAATGTACTGCGGAGCGGAAGAAGACGACATCATCGCACTCCATGCGCAGGATAAAATATTTTGGGGATTCGAGTCGGAAACAGAAGGAAGACGATGATGGATACAGCGACGAGTCATTTGAGAGCGACACTTTCATCGAGCGTAAAAAGAATTGATGCTGGTAGTCCCACGATCTGCTGTGACGAGGAATTCTACTCTGATGACAACCTGGCAAGCGATTGGCATCGACACTGACTTGGGAGGTGAGTCGGCCGATGATTTGGCCAGAATGGACATCGCTGCACATATCCGGGACAATGCCAGTATTGGTTGCAAGTGCAAAAACAATCACTGGACTCTGCTGCTCCCTCAACTTGCTCAAGTCGATAATTTAAGTACCCTTATGCGGAACATCGCTAGCATGAGCAGTATGCAGCGAAAGCAGTACTCTCTGGCGAGCGGAGAAAACCGTGTGCAGATGGGCTTTAGTGTGGGGAATATGAGTGCGACGTCTAGTATGTTGACGAACAATGTGTGCAGCAGTGTATACTGTATATCTGAAAGTACAGGTGGAGTGTGATGGAGAGGACATGGAGTGCCAACTTCTTCGGCCATCTCACAGATGTTGACCGTGTTTTCGCTGGCGGTTCTCCAGTGGTGCTCCAAACAGGAGGTATTTCGGACACCCAGCTCAGCTGCCTATAGACAATTTGGATGTGGCTGAGTACCTGTCAGCTCATGCTATAAGACCCTGGACAGAGGAACTGACCCGGAAAGGATGAACCAAGGGGCATATCAATTGTGTGCAAAAATGACAATCCCATTGCTGTACATAGAATTTCACCATTTCAACAGTGCTGCATATAATACCATTGTAGCAACACTTAGACATTTCGGATCAATCCAAAACTTTCAGACAGTGAACATTAGGTGTGTTGGATCATTTTTTAACAAAAAACTGAAAATCGAATTTCTGGTCTGTGGTCATATTTTGGCGTGCTCTGGCTCACATAGTCCTTCACAACTTGAAGAGAGACTGCTGCCTCTGATCGAGTCGGTGGCTTCGCAGCTGGGGCTTCGGTGTCATCTTCAATATCACTCCCACTGTTGTTGGCAGTGTTGCTATGCTGGGCAATGTCTAAAGCCGCAGGACCCTCAGTTGCAATGCCCTCGTCAAAGTCAAGATATTCTGGCAGAGAGTAATCCTCTTTGTCACCAGTCTGGTCAGCTAAGCTATCCTATGCTTCAGTCATGGCTAGCAGGCCATCTTCGTTGCCATTTGGCACGTTCGAATTTGCCAAGGACTCAGTCTGGCCAGACGATTCATCATGAAACTTGGCATGTCGGAAACAATTTGCTACAGTGGGCGTGACTCTCTGCCAGGCTGCATGCAGCATGAAAATGGCCTCCAGAACATTGACCTTCTTTGCCTCATCGGTAGGTTTGCCGGAATCAAAGGCATCCACGATGCGCCGCAGAAGCTTGGTACGGTAGGCTGCTTTCATGCTGCGGATCACGCCTTGATCCATCGGCTGGCTCCTGGATGTCGAGTTCGGAGGGAAGTAATGGATGGTTATGTGCGAGAAATTCGCTGTCAGGGTTGCAGCTGAGTGGGCCGAGCAGTTGTCCAAGAAAAGGAGCACTTTTCGCTTCTGCTGCCATTTCCTGGTTGAAATTCATCAGCCACTCTTTGAACAATGCCCTGTCATCCATGCGTTCTTTGAGTGCTTGTACGTCACCGGCAAGGATCTGGCATTCTTGCAGCACCTTGGGTTTTTGTAATGCCCAATAACCAGTGGCACCAGCTTCTCCGAACCATCCATATTGGCAGCTAACAATACACTCAGCCTCTCCTTCTTTTTCTTCCCGCCCTGGCACTTCTCTCCGCGGAATGCTAGAGTGTGATGAGGAAGCAGCCGGTAAAACAATGCCGTTTCGTCTGCATTGAAAACATTTTTGGGTCCATACCCTTCAATCAATGTTGGGAGAACATCGTGGAGCCATTGATCGATGTTGTGATCAGCTGCAGCTTCTCTCCCCTCTCCAGCTTTCGTCCTCAGCGAGACTTGGTGCCGTGCCTTGAAGCGACTTATGAAGCCATGGCTCGCTGAGAAATCCTCGCTTGAAATCCCCAGCTGTCGTGCAAGCTTCTCCGCTTCCGTCGTCAGGATGTCATCTGTCACATCCAGATTTGCAGCTCTAGCGCAAGCAAGCCAATCTCGCAGAGCTGCATCCAGCTCCGGCCAGCGAGACCGCCTTACGCGCTGTGCAGACGAAGGCCGCTCGCCGCCAAGGTATGCACGCTTGATTGCATCCTTTTGTTTTAGCACGGTGTAGATAGTTTGAGCCGGGCGACGGACGTTACGAGCGATGCTCGCCGCTTTCAATCCTCTTTCTTGCATCTGCACGATCTCGTATTTCTCTTTGAGAGAAAGCTCACCTCGCGTTGCCTTTGCACTTGCAGACTTCGACATGACTACTCGAGCTAGACCTGACCAGCTTTTCTACTTCTTCTTTTAGGACAACTACACTCACAAACGTTTGAAACGATATGATTCGAAAGATTTTAGTTTTCACCTTTTCAACAGCACGCCCGGATTCACACAGAGCGCACAGAAAATAATTCGCCTTTCTCAGGCGCTCTGCATGAATCCAGCGAGTACGCGAGGAAGCGGGTGGATGGTCCGTGCTGCCATTGGTGTTACTTCTGGTGATCAAGACACCTGAGATGGATCGACGTACATCCCTAGTTTGATCATCTGCGTCCTGGTCGAGGATCATCAAATTGCATTCGCATTTTCAGGCGCTCTGCATGAATCCAGCGAGTACGCGAGGAAGCCGATGGATAGTGTTCTCGTATTCGTAAGACACCCGGGATGGATCGACGTACATCTCACTACATCTGTACGATGCAGTTTGATGATCTGCGTCCTGATTGAGAAACATCAAATTCCATGGCTTCCTTCATGGATCCAAAGCTACAGACCAACCAAAAACAAAACCCTGATCGATCTTTTCTAGTTCAAGGCCCCCTGAATGAACTGATATTCGCCTTGGTTGACGAACGAAGTCCACAATCGATCCATGTTGTGTCCCCGGAGTCTACCCAGCGCGGGTACAGTGCTCCGTACATGGACTCATGCTCGTCCCGATCCGTAACCGATGCAGGATCTACTGGTTTTTCATGGCCCCATTCAGGGATCCACCGTACACATGGTAGATCACAGGTGCAGGTCGGAGGTGTGTCACAAGCCTCATGCTGCATAGCGCCTAGAGCTAGGACAATTTTTCCTTGTCAGTTTGAAGTGCAGCTTGGTTCACTCAATCTCTGTTTGCACTCGACTCCGTCACTTAGACGTTTCTTTGAGGTGAGCAAAGTATGTTTTGGTCCGTTCTGCAGCCTTTTCGTCAAACTTCGTTGAATTATTACGCACTCCTTTTTGTTTCCGCGTGTTCACTGGACCGTATTTGAACGGACGTACAATTGTCGTATCTCAGACGACAACTAACAAAACCTCAATGGAAAGAACTTATCTTACAACACTATTTCCTCTTCCGTGCCCACGCGTTGCAGACATAGCCGCTTCACCTGGAGTGTGCTGGTAGCGTACTGTCGTTGAGTGCATACGATGTACCCTAGACTGAATTAGCTGTCGATGTTGTTCATTTGAGTAACCTATACAGATTGGTGAAAATGTTGTGGGTATTTGATGTTACGACGCTGCACAAAGACCTTCCCTTTGTTCTTCACTCTAACTTCTTGTTTCTCCATTGGACAAGTTATGTTATAATGAGGGAGATGCTTCCCGGGGCCAGCACAATGACTCGTTATAACGAGTTTCATGTTATAACGGATTATGTTGTATCCGGACCTGTAAACAGTGGTATAGACCACGTTTCGCCAGGGGAATTCAGATTTGTATCTACTAACGGGGTTTATGTACTAACCGAACTCGTTATAACGGGGAGGACCTGTACTAGTCATACAAACAATTTTTTAAACCCTTTGAGGACCGAGGACGAGTTAACTCGTCCAAAACATGTTCGCTGTATTCCAGAGGACGAGTATACTTGTCCTGAGAGTGCATACATTTGTACAGTGCATATACACCAGTGTTCAAATTATCGTTACTCTGGTGTCCTTCTCCGATCATCGCAAATGCTAGCTCGTTGGAAAGCTGAGAAAACAAGCTTTCCAGTGATATGTCGTTTGATATAGCGAGATGTGGTTTCACGGAGTGCCGAAGAGCGAAACACAAAATACGCTTGAACTTTTTGACAAAATATTTGTGTGCGCAGTGATCTGCACCTATCAGTATACTCTTCGCTGCCTTGTCATTGGGAAGAAATTCCCGTTTGGATTTGCGAAGTAAAACAAAGTCAAAAAAAGTATCTCTCAAACGAGGCCTATGACTCATGGTTGCACGGCGCATGCGAAGTCGAGCCCAAACAAAGGATTCGCTCGAGCTTCAGGAATATGGAGAACTTTGAGCCGCTGTTCTGCGCTGAGTAAAACTTCAGAACCGAAGAAATTTGTCAGGGTAGGCAAAGTATCTCACTCAGGCGCAATGGGGTAGCCCCCAACTGGCATGAAGGCGATTCTGTTGCTCCTGCTGGACATCTAGTTGCATGATTCGCAGAGGTAGTAGATCTGTAGCTTGCTGATGAACCCAAGATGGAGAAATTCTGCCACTGGTGAGTGAAATAATAAAATTTTGCAGTTGCGTACTCTGGCTGAGGCACGTGTCAGCGTGTGCCCTGGCGGGAATACGTGGAATCAGTAGTGGCCTTGTTAATCCCAGCTGTTATCATTGGGTGACGTGATTTCAAATATCAAAGATAGAAAATACAGGGGGCCGGGGCATGATAGTGTGAACTGTCCATGCAGTGTAGAGTGATAGTGTGAACTGTGCATGCAGTGTAGAGTGATAGTGCGAACTGTGCATTTTAAGGGCGTAGTCCACCCTATGTGACCCACAGTTGGTTTTACGAACAGTTAACTTGAAAGACAGTTGCCATGATTAACAGTTTACCTGAAAGACGGTTCCCATGATCAACAGCTTCCCAATCATCACATCGACTGGAAGTTGTGACAGCATGGCTCCAATATTTGTCAATCGTTCTTCTGAATCCAGAGCTCCCTAGAACAGAACACCAGTCATAAAAACACAGAGTCATTGTCATTGACAACTTGGTATACATTTTTAGTGTTTTGGAGTAATCGTCATTGATTACCACTTACAACTAATTGCCATGGTGACAAGTTGGAGTCCCATTTGACACTTTTTCTTCTACATTGTTTAATTTGTATGCAGAAGAAGCTTACTCAGTTAGCGTGACTGGGTGCATGTCATTGCCGTATTCAGTAGTTGAAGCATGCACCCTCAAGGCACACGACGAGTTCAAACACAATATCCGAGTTCTTGGCGTATTTCAGTTGAATTTTACTTCATTTTCAACTCTGAAAGCCAGTTGCCGTCTCAACTTCCAAAAACTGAAACGCTTACAGAGCCTGTCTGGGAAACCACCAAATGTTGGCTAGTCAGCCAGTCAGTCAGTCCAATTTCGAACAAGTGGGGGGGGGGGAGGAGGAGGAGGAGGAGGAGTGAATGACTCAATATAGAACACGTGAGCGTTGTATGAGCCCTTTAGACCCATACACATTCCTGTATGCACACACTTCCGTACACATATACATACACATCTCCGCATCCCTGTACACACCCATTCATGCACTCCCCGCTGACCTTTGCCCTGCTGACCCTTTGCCTCCCTTACTGCATGCACTGCACCCCTTTTCCCGCTCACCCTGTCTCACTTACTGCATGCACCCCTTTTCCCGCTCACCCTATTGCCACTTACTGCATGCACCTCTTTTTCCCTCCATAGCTTTCGTTATACTCTGAAGGCTGCGCTTGCGCAGAGAGGTGATTCCCCTAGTCGTTCTCCTCACAGTTGTTCTTCTTGTAGTCCTCCGAGTTGTCTTCTCCTTGTAATTGCCCCAGTCCTCTACTTTAGTCCTCTTTGTGCTCAGTTAATATAACTATTATAATAACCTACACTTCCGTGCTGCAGTATAAAGAGTGTGATAAAGTAGTAGTAGAGTAGAGTACACACAGTAACCATGGTGACTGCCCTGACTTACGTGCTCCTTCAGGTAGAAAATGGCTGTTTGGAGACTTTGCTTGCTAGGTGCTTCAATGAAAGGAAAGCTGGGAGCAAAAGAATTTTTAAAGAGAGGTCAGAAATAGAAGATGTTAGAAAACAACAAAATACAACACACGTGACATTGAACAAGTGAGGACTATTGATAAAGGAATATCCTACAGCACAATGTACTTCGATACCAAGTACAGCTTGGTGAACAAATCCACCCCTGCACACGCAACGATAGGTACCACACAGCCGTGACACAGCCATAGCATAGCCATAGCACAGCCATAGCACAGCCATAGCCGTAACACAGCCGTAGCACAGCCGTAGCACAGCCGTAGCACAGCCGTAGCACAGCCGTAGCACAGCCGTAGCACAGCCGTAGCACAGCCGTAGCACAGCCGTAGCACAGCCGTAGCACAGCCGTAGCACAGCCGTAGCACAGCCGTAGCACAGCCGTAGCACAGCCGTAGCACAGCCGTAGCACAGCCGTAGCACAGCCGTAGCACAGCCGTAGCACAGCCGTAGCACAGCCGTAGCACAGCCGTAGCACAGCCGTAGCACAGCCGTAGCACAGCCGTAGCACAGCCGTAGCACAGCCGTAGCACAGCCGTAGCACAGCCGTAGCACAGCCGTAGCACAGCCGTAGCACAGCCGTAGCACAGCCGTAGCACAGCCGTAGCACAGCCGTAGCACAGCCGTAGCACAGCCGTAGCACAGCCGTAGCACAGCCGTAGCACAGCCGTAGCACAGCCGTAGCACAGCCGTAGCACAGCCGTAGCACAGCCGTAGCACAGCCGTAGCACAGCCGTAGCACAGCCGTAGCACAGCCGTAGCACAGCCGTAGCACAGCCGTAGCACAGCCGTAGCACAGCCGTAGCACAGCCGTAGCACAGCCGTAGCACAGCCGTAGCACAGCCGTAGCACAGCCGTAGCACAGCCGTAGCACAGCCGTAGCACAGCCGTAGCACAGCCGTAGCACAGCCGTAGCACAGCCGTAGCACAGCCGTAGCACAGCCGTAGCACAGCCGTAGCACAGCCGTAGCACAGCCGTAGCACAGCCGTAGCACAGCCGTAGCACAGCCGTAGCACAGCCGTAGCACAGCCGTAGCACAGCCGTAGCACAGCCGTAGCACAGCCGTAGCACAGCCATAGCACAGCCATAGCACAGCCATAGCACAGCCATAGCACAGCCATAGCACAGCCATAGCACAGCCATAGCACAGCCATAGCACTAAACTGAGGGGTACATACTTTTAAAACAACACTAGTAAGTCACGCAGTGACGCTGCCAGTAATATCCAGGCATGGGCCCGGAAGCCGGTATTACCGTAAAAAACATCACAAGGTCCTTAGCAGCTTCGGGTGGAAAGGCTTACAGCTCTGTCGTGGACTGGCCATACTGTTGTCTCTAATACTCCCTAGCTAGGTCAGCTATTCACTCTACTGGGGGCTTCAGCTTGCTCGGATAAAGAATTGATGGTGTTGTACTGGTCGACCTAACCAGAGACATACAGTCCAACTCTCTCGGTTTTCCCGGGAAAATCCCGGGAAAACAATAATACTCCCGGGGTCCTGGGGATTTCAAGCAAACTCCCGGAAAAGTCACATTTTTGTCTGATACGGAATGTTCCTGAAAAGCCCATGGACTCGCCTCGAATGTCCCGGTTTTTTCAAAATATGTACGGTGCGCACTCGCACTTCTAACTGTGCACAGCACTTTCAATACCTGACCAGCCTATCCTGCAAGATCTCGCACTGACAAGCGCGCTAGGCAGGCGCCAATTGGTCGAACTGCACTGCAGGGGTCGAACGGTGCTGGACGCAGATCTGCAGAGTCTATGCCGCCTTTTTTTGGCGGGAAAAGCTCTTTTTCACTTGCTTTGGTGTCATCAAGAGTGCATAACCCCCCCCCCCCCCCCCCCAGAGTGTGCAACTCCACTATGGCGGTATGGGTGCTGTCCCGATTCAAGTTGACGTCATTTTGATGATGCAATGCGCACTGTACACGGATTATCAGACGAATCCGGAACCTGTGGTTGACGCGAAGCCGATCGATCCTGTACAAATTATTGCAAAGAAAAACGTGTGATGCGTTGACACCCGTACACATGTTGTAAATCACTGGTGCAAGGAGCATTGCGTCATAAATAATGACGTCAACTTGAAATTCTGTCGGGACAGAAGGGTATGTGGGAGTTGCACACTCTGGGGGGGGGGGGGGGGGGGGGGGGTTATGTACTCTTGGTGTCATCCAGGGATTTTGAGAGAAATCCAGGGATTCTGCATGTCTTGTCAAGTGATTGAGATTATGGTGGTTGGTCAGTATGCAGAGATGTATCATGCATTTCAAGTTGCACTGTGTCTCAGTTGTAATGCTTCCTCTGTCCCCTTTTGGCACATTTCACTGGGTAGACTGGTACACATTGAAAACGGGAGTGCATTTCATGAACCCCCAAAACTTGTCACTTAAGTGTGCTACGTGCCTGGGAGGTCACAGATAGAGTTTGACACAGAAACACACAACAGGGAAGATCCGGCAGGGATACAGCATGTCTACTCACCTTCGGAGATCTTCTAATCCCATACTGGCCATTTGCAAGACCAGAGAGTCAAGTGGTACTCGTAGTATTTCTGGAGTGCTGTATGGCTGCAAAGACTCATAATCAGCTTGCGAGTACAAACGATAGCAGACACCAGGACCAGTACGACCTTCACAAAGTCACAGGATAGAAAAGAAAGAAATACAAACAATGTGCAATGTAAGGAGCAATCCAGCATTATTAATCATTTTCACAGAACGAAAATGTTCAGTTATGAACTTATGACCCTCCCCCAACCATCCGCCCACCTGAACCAAAATATAATAGGTTCGACAGCAAGAATGGATTTATGATTCTGCTATCAATATTTTTCAACATGAAACTCTCCTCGACCCACCCACCCAAACTTTTTCGTTTGGCGTAATAAATCGATAATTTATAGAAAAGAAAAAGGACCAAGGAACACAAGTTACGCAATAACTGGTGCCCTGGACAATTTTGATTAAGCCTAGTTCACATTCGACGGGGCGCGACGGGACGCGACGTAAGGATCGACGGGAAGCGACGGGACGGTCTGACGGCGTCCAATGTGAACACCAGGAACAGGAACGCAACCGTACTACCGTACAGATCGGGAAGCGACGGGAAGAGTTGGATCGATCCAACTTTTCATACCGTAGACGGGCGTAGACGGGGACGCAAGCGTACAAAACGGCTGCAATTCGAGTGTAAACAGGAGACGGCGTCGCGCGCCGACTACTCCCGATTCATACTTGGATATTTTTAGCATCTCGAACACTGCGCTTCCCATGATAACTCACAGAATGGCTAGCACGACTTGAGTTGAATTTTAGCAACATAAGATCTCTTGTCACTTATTGTATTTAGGGATAGTTCAGAAGCGTGACAGACGAACTATTCTATCACTTCTTAGGGCAATTATTTGAATGCCACAACTTTCAGGGCTAATTTTTTGATCTTCATGAAAAACTGGTATTAACTTGATTTCGCTTCTTTCAAGGAGAAATAATTGAAACGAAGTCCCGAAAAACTAGAAATTAGGTCCGAAAGTCACCCCGTCACGGACCATGCCTTATGACTCGCGCCGTTCGACGTTGAACGTCGCAACGACTGCTGCATGTCGTGTCGTACAAATCGTACAGGATTTTACAGCTCACCCCAGCCCTCCCGACAAGCCCTTACGTCCCGTACCGTCGGCGTTGCGTCGAATGTGAACTAGGCTTTACATCACTGTATTTGTACATGTGTACGAACAGTCGCATTTGTGCCATTTTCAGGGTGTCAAGGGCCGTGCAATTTGATGGCGCCAAATATGCACTCTGGGTCGGATTTCAAGGAGTGCAACTGTTGCCGGTTAGTAGAAAACAAGCCGGAAGATTTCACTAACAAGTGTGCCCCAGTTGTTAGGACCTTTCTCTAGACTGTTAACTTGAAAGCATCATCCATCAACAACATCATCCATCAATAACATCATCCATCAATAACACCATCCATCAATAACATCGCTCGCCCCATTCCCGGTAAACTTGATGTCTTCTACTGATGCCAGTTGTAAAGGAGTCCTCTTACTGTTTTTGTTGGAATGTTCTCCGTTAGTTAGTGCTAGTATTCGTTACATCAATTTTATCACAATTGGACACTCGAATATTCCTACCTCGTGTATTTCACACTTTGCAATGTGACACCTCTGCTTCAGTCTTTTCTTCATTCTATCTTTCTGTCAGGGGCAGCAACCACCCGTCTGTGGGTGCCAGCATCCTCAGGCAGTTGCCATCGTAGTTAAGAACGTGGAACTCTACATTCTTGATCACATCTTCAATCATTTCCGGTAGAAATCTGCCTGTCTTCGTGGTTTGAATTATTTATTTGTGCTGTTTTTCTTCTTTTCTTGCGGCACTCACTTTCAACCTCTTTGCTATATGTCCGTGTGTGTATGCATACTGCCCTCGCGTGGTTTGAGTCGGCAGTCATTGTGGCATCAAGGGCAACAACAGGGCGGATCATCTTGCCAAACTGGGGTGCCATGGTGACCAGGCAGGCGTGTACGCAGGGTCATCTCTAGGGGGGGTTCCAACTGAATCCCAAACAATGACTCGTTTTTTTTTAAACCCTTTCTAAAGAGCCCTAGGAAAATTTTCAAAATTATGCATTTTTCTTGTTCTTTGGATCATAAATTCAGTTCTACTCACTCAATCTTCTTTATCTTGGGCTTCCCGGAAGTGGAAAGGTACCAGGGAGAGAATGAGGTCGACCATGATAGCCAGGACACAGTACAGTCACGTACATATCCAGCGCTATAGGCTATAGCGGTGGAGTGCAGCGACGTCGCGAAAAAATGGCCCAAAGGCCCAAACGCGTCCTTGCTCTAGCGATTTCGTTTTTTTTGATCGCAGAGTTTCGATTTTTTTGCTGTGTACTCTTGAAAATATCACAAGTGAAGTCCCTGCAAATTTGAGCAAGTCAGCGTGATGAAAAGTTTAAAATTCTTGATGCTCGAGTCGCACCGCGCACTTTTGAAATAGACCGCTTGCGTAATGATTCCATGCGTACGCGCGAGTGACGTCACTTGGTCGTGATCTGCGTCAAGCTTCTCGCATCATTTAAATTTTTGTTCTAGGAAACTGTCAAATGTAGGCGAGCGAACTTCTCCTTGTCGAGAAGGATATACCTGGTGCCTCATCCTCGGGCAAGGTCGAGGATCTGTGGTATCATCAAGTCTATGTGATGATTAGTTATATTGAAATAGAATAATGCAACGAAGGACTGAGAGAGGACGACTCGTCAGGAAACTACCAAGGAAAGACTGAACAGCAACAAGAGACATGCACTGTCGATTATGGGCACGGAGTACACACATGCATGCATAGTATGAGTAGTATGCTGTAAGGTTGTACGCACGTCCATGCAAGGAGATGCAGTAGCATAATAAGAAACATGAGAGCGCAAATATGTACGATGTACACGGGTACACCACACGCCCCTTCTGAGATAAACAAGCGAAAAATCGGAGCTGTTTATCTCACATAAACGAGAAGGAAAAAACAGAAGTGACAGAAAAGAAAGTAAACACTAATGAAGCATGATACCAAAACCAACTACTTGGAGCAAGAGTGTGAGGTACAGGTATGTAGAGTCAAGCATAGGACTTAGATGCTGTGGACGAAATGTTCAAACGCTCTGGTGCCTGGCGAGATCGTTGGCTACGACGAGGCTGCTGCACACAAGGCTGCTGCGGTGCTGCGGGCTCAGCCGGGGAGGTGTCTGCAGGCGGAGCAGGAGGGGCTACGGCAGGGGCAGGCTTGAGAAGACGACGGTTGCGCCAGTAAACACGGCCGCTGGGTAACTTCACCATATAGTCCCAGTTGCGACCAATGGCGACGACCACGCCGGTGGTGCGCCAGAGTTTGGTGCGCGGATCTTGGATTTCAACCCGCATGCCAATGCGAAGTGGGGACAGTGATCTGGCAGACTCATCATAATGCTGTTCTTGGGTGGCAGACTGAGCGGCAGAGCGCTTGTCAACATCGGTGGCTTTGGCTTGCCAATCAGGAGCAAAGCTGAGATGATGAGCTGTCACGAAGGAGGACAATGGTCGACCAAACAGTGCTTGGGCTGGGCTCTGACCATTTTCTCGGGGGGTGTTGCGCCATTCTAACAATGCGCGTCTGAACTCATCGACGTCCAAGTTACCGTCGGACGTGGTCTTCAACACAAGTGATTTCATCGCTTTCACGGCGGCTTCGGCATGGCCATTAGATTGAGGATAATGAGGGGAAGACGTGGAGTGCTGAACTTGCCATCGGGTGCAAAATTCAGCGAAGCGACGTGATGAAAATTGCGGACCACCATCAGTGGTGAGGATGCTGGGGACACCGACGTCGGCGAACCAGCCACGGAACACACGGATCACATCGGCAGAAGATGCAGTGCGGCCGATCTTGGCGATGCAAGGCCAGCCAGTGTGACGGTCGACGTAAACCAGGTATTCCCAGCCTTGACAGGAAAATAAGTCGGCACTGGTTGACTGGAATGGCAGGGTGGGACGGCGGTCAGCGGTGACACGCATCGGTTCCTTACACTGAGACGGAGCGTGCAAGCGACACTGTTCGCAACTGCGAACGACTTGGGCGATGTCATTAGACAAGTGTGGCCAGTATACGACTTGTCGAGCTCGACGCTGTGTGCGGTTGAGGCCTTGGTGGGAGGCATGAAGATCCTGGAGCACACGTGGGCGGAGGGTACGCGGGACCACAACATGTTGGCCTTTCAGGACAAGATCAACGTCGACTGAAAGATGCTCGCGGATAGTGAAGTACGGTTTCACAGCTGAGTGGACGGCGCGCTGATCATCAGGGAAACCTTCACGAACGGCTTGGAGAAGGGCCTGATAGTCATCATCGGCACGGGCAGCGTCCAAGAGCTCGCAGTGCCGGAGGTCTGCAATTCGGCCATCCTCGTCCTGGCGGAGACATGCTCTGATGGCTGGTGCTGAGAGCGTTGAGCTTTCACCGAATTCTTCCTCACTGGTCGGCTTGTCGACCGGGTTACGGGACAGTGCATCAGCAAACGCATTCTCTTTGCCTTTGCGCCAGTGCGCGACGAGTTGAAACGACCGGAGCTTCAGTGCGAGGCGTAGCAGACGTGGATTTTCTATCTGATCCAGGGTGTACTTGTTCAGAATCGGGACCAATGAACGGTGGTCAGTGAACAAATCGAATCGGCTGCCGGACAGAAAGAGGGAGCACTTGTGGACAGCCCAAACCACAGCAAGTAACTCCAGTTCTATGACGGCATAACGTGTCTCTGCGTCGGTGAGAAAGCGGCTGCCACACTGCAGCATGCGCCACTGGTTATCTTGGCGTTGCCATAACACGAACCCAAGTCCGTTCAGGGCAGAGGCGTCGGTCTCTAGCCGAAGGTCGTCACCAGCACGGTAGTACGAGAGAGTCGGCGGCGATATCAGTTCAGACTTTGTGGCGTTGAAAGCCGCGGTGTGGACATCATCCCACACAAACTCATTCGTGGTCTTCAATAACGGACGTAGCGGAGCTGCGAGCTCGGATATCCGTGGGGTGAATTCTCCACACTGATTCACCAGACCGAGGAAGGAACGGAGGTCGGTACGATTGGTGGGTAGGTTGAAGTGCT